TATGATACACATGCGCATGGGCACCACATGTGCACCACGGCTCGTAACATCTACACACGAAGGCAGGGCCGAGCAGACGACGACGGAACCCCACCGACGGGCCCGAGCACAGAGGGAGACAAGCGAGAGGCCCAAGTCGTGACAGCCTTGACAGAAGCACCGCGCAATGCGCACACATCCACCGTTCGTGTCGGCTGCAGCACTGGTCAAGTTTGCTGCGGCGCCGATGCGCTCTGTGCACACTGCAGTGCGCGGCCACGCGTCACGCCCGATGTCAGACTCTGGCCGACGTCTGAAAGGATTTGGAAGAGGGGGACGACGACGACGACGACGACGATGAGCGGGGGTGACAGAGAACCGTGGATGAAATCAGTGGTAAGAGAACAGGACGGGGGATGTAAGAAGGGCGGCGGGGAGAAGAGCGAGAAGGATGGAACGACAAAGGGAAGGAAGCAGAGATGCACGGAAGATGTAGGACCTAGAAGGTAGGAGGTAAGATGCAGAAAGGATGAGGAGAGTGGACGTAAGGGTAGGAGGAGCGGGGAGGAGTGTAATAAAAACCAGGAGGATGTAAGAAGGATGAGGAAGCAAAGAGGAGAGAGGAGGGAGGCGGAAGTGAGGAGCAAAAAGTCAGGAAGGAAGGGTGCGGTGAGGGGAAGTTAGAAGCAGTAAGCAAGAAGGATGGAAGGAGGGAGAAATTAGGAATGATGTGAGGACAAGAAGGAGGAGGACGAGGATCAGGAGGAGGAGGAGGAGGACGGGGAAGAGGAGGAGAAGGAGGATGAGGAGATGAGAGAGAAGGAGGAGGAGGAGGAGGAGGAGGAGGAGGGGGAGGAGGAGGAGGAGGAGGGGGGTGTTCCAAAGAGTTCCCAGACGTCTCCACGTGGGACGTCACTGCTGAACCTTACAGGAGCTCACAAAAGTGGCAGATGTGGGGTTGACAGTAGCGAGGTGAGAGTTAGGTACGAGATAGTTCGAGGACAGGAGAAGGAAACTGAGGAGGGGAGGAAAAGAGGAGGAGGAAGAGGAGGAAGGAGCAGCAGTGCTCTACTCGAAACGAGCACCCATGCGAACGAGGGCTTTGAAACGTTATCCTGGCGGCGGAGCCCCGCTCGAGACGAGAGCCTGCCTCGGGAGGGCTGGGACAAAACGAGGACGACGACGCGATGGGCCAGCACCAGCTCGCGGGGAGAACCCGCCTCGAGATGGGATGGGGCACGGGCGCTCTCCCGATCCTCCCCTGGCCTCCCTGGGGGGACCCGCGCCTCGAGACGGAGGCCCACGGTGGTGCCCGAGCCTCACGGACTCGAGGCCCCCGTGGTGCCTCGAGGCCCCGGTGGTGCCCGAGGCCCACGGCCCTGGTGGTGCCTCGAGGCCCTGGTGGTGCCCCGAGGCCCCCGTGGTGCCTCGAGGCCCCGGTGATGCCTCGAGGCCCAGGTGGTGCCCGAGGCCCACGGCCCGCGGGCCCGGCGCCGCCTGGCCTCCGCTCTCGTTGGGGCGGGCGGGCCGCGAGGCCGCGTGGGAGCGGCACCCCGCGCGAGAGGGCGTGGCGGCCCTGTGCGGCGTGCTGCGGCAGGTTCGCGTATGTAGAGGGCAGAACATCCACCCCCGCAATGATCACCCCGACACGCGAAGCCGTGTCGCCAACGCACCCACAGCAGGAATGGAACAAGGCAGGGCTGTTTGGTCAGTGCTCGAGGCCGTTGAGTCAACGCCCATTGTCGGGTCCGGGTGGTTTTTCCTCCCTCGAGTGTGGGCGCGCACGCGGTGGCTTCTGACTCCGCGTGGGTCGTTCCACCGGGGACGGTCGGCGGCTCCTCGAAAGCCAAAGATCCTTCCCAGATGGGCCGACGCTGGGCCGCTGGCGGCGCTCCACCCCGAACGTCCGCGGCGTGGCCGCCGCTGCGCCGACACGACTCGAATCGGCCGCACGCGGCGTCTCTCACGCCGCTGACGCGGCACGCCGAGTGAAGCAGAGGGCGCGCGCTTTGGCGCGGGATCTGCGCGGGCTGCCTTCGCGCGCCATAGTGCACGCGGCCGGTCCCGGTTCTCTCTGCGCCGTTCGGGTGGCGCGCGGAGCCTTCTTGTCCAGGGAGGCCAGCTTCGCCTCCAGCGCCGCCTCGGAGTCCCCGATCGGCACGCCCAGATATCTTTGCCCGGGGCAGGATCGACGAGTCGCTCTGGCCCTCCTCGATCCCTCAATGTTGCTACTGCTGCTCTTCCTCCTCCTCCTCCTCCTCCTCCTCCTCCTCCTCCTCCTCCTCCTCCTCCTCCTCCTCCTCCTCCTCCTCCTCCTTCCCTTCCTCCTCACCCTCCTCCCCCACCCCCACCTCCACCACCGCCACCACCACCCCTCCTCCTCCTCCTCAAAAACCACCACCACTTCCACCCCCACTTCCACTCCCACTTCCACCCCCACCACCCCCTCGACATGTTCTTTTTTTTCCCTGGCCCGTTCGATTCCTTTTCCTCCACCTCCTCCTCCCCATGCCGATAGCTTTCCGCAGCTCCTGGGGTGGCTGTTATGCACAACGTATGGGGAGCCCGTAAGGAATATGCGCATGGCGCACGCCCTAATGGCACCTGCACAGTCACCGCAATGGCTAGGAAGCTCGGCCGACACCGGCACACAAGGTACTAACCCCAAGGACAACCTGGCGGCACGACTGTATGTCCCGTGCATTTCGCAGTCCCCGCCTAGATGCCTTCAACTGGGGATATATACCTCGGGACGTTCACATCTAGGTCGTTCACCTCGAGGTCGTACTACCTCGTGGTCTTCACATCAAAGCCTGATCCCCTCAAGGTTTCCACCCCGTTGTCTTCACATCGGGACCTTCACCTCCAAATCTTCACCGACCTGTTTTCACCGAGAGGACTTCACCTTGCGGACCACCTCGAGGTCATCACCGTGAGAGCTCCATTTCGAAGTCTCCACTACGAGGCCATCACCTCGATATTCGAGGACTGATGTCTCAACACAGCCCCGGCTTACCTCCGTCGCGAAGCAAGCGCCTAAAGGACACACTCTGGCGGATGCAAGGTCCTTAGAAGGCCACGTCGAGGCTTTTCGAGCGGGGCGCGGCCAACGAAAATGGCTAAGGATGGATCGAGGAGGCAAGGATGCAAGGTACCCTTGGGAAGGCTGCCCATCCTTACTGCGCGGGTTGACTGTAGCTGCCTCAAGGGAGCGGCCCAGCGGAAAGGCCGGCGGCCCTGCGCACTTCCCCCTCTACCCACTACGTTTCCATCTGGACGCCGGCTGGCGGCAACGCCAGATTTCGCGCCTTTCGCGCGCTCGCCCTCGTCACGAGGCTGTTGCAACAAGGGCGCTACCAGGTAGCACGTCCCGGTTACAGCGATTTGATTCTCTCGGGCACTGCCCGAAAGCGGCGCCAGCATTCGCGCGCTCGCAGATCCTGCGAGCTTGCCTTCTGTCGCGAGGCAGCGGCCTCAATTACGCGGCCTGGCGGCAAGGCTGGCGGCCCCGCGCGCCTTCGCGTCTGCTGCGTTTCGTATCCTTTTGGGCGCTGGCCAGCGGAAGTGCTGGCTTTCGCGCGTCCGCGGAATCTGCGCGCTTGCCACCGTCGCGGGGCCGTTGCCTCAAGGGCGCGGCCCAGCGGCAAGGCTGGCGGCATTGCGCGCTCCCACCTCCATCCACCATCGCATGTCGTCCCCTCTTGGACACCAGCCGGCCGCAACGCCAGCTTCCGCGAGCCTCGGATTCTGCGCGCTTGCCAGCGTCGCGAGGCATCGCCCCCAAGGACACTGCCTGGCTGCCAGGCCAGCGGCCCTGCACCCTCTCACGTCTCGCGTCTCTCCAGTAACCGCATGTCATATATATATATATCTCTGGACACTGGCCGAGGGCAACGCTGGCTTTCGTGCTTCTCCCGATCCTCTGCGCTTGCCCCCGTTGCGAAGCAGTTGCCTCCAGGACACATCCCGGCGGCAAGGCCGGCGGCCCTGCGCTCTCTTGTGTCCCTGACTACCAAGGTTCCCTTCTGTCTGGGCGCTGCCTCGCGGCAGTGCCAGCCTTCGCGCATCCGCAGATTCTGCACGCTCGCGCCCCGTCGCCAGGCATCTGCGTCAAGGACGCATTCTGGCGGCAAGGCGGGCGGCCCTGCTCTCGCGTCCACGCGCTCACCGCGGCTCGCCCCCCTGGGGGTGATGACGCGGCGGCGAAGAATGCAAAAGGAGGGATCGCTGTTCCGAATCGCCAATCCAGGAGGGTACCACCTTGTGTCGCATCCCGTGTTGCGCCCCGGCTTGCTGCAAAGCGTGTCTCCCATGCTACCATGCTGTGGAGCGGGCCCACTCCCGTCACCACCAAGATGGCGATCCTTCCTGCGGTGGAGCAGACGGTAAACCACGCAAAATGACCTATCACCTGTAAGGTCGGGGGCGATAGGGGCTACCATAGAGCACTCCCCCGTCGAAGCTTGAATCTCGAAAAAAAAGAGGTGGCCGTCCCGGGGAATGCTGACTACGCGCAGCATTCACCAACACCAGGTGACGACAGCGTCGCTGTCCAGATCCATGGACCAAAGAGCTCGTCGGCCCAACCTTCGCGAGCACCGCTCCCGGGATGGAAAAGCCCATGTGCTCCGTCCGACCCGGCAGCGCTACACGCCGGTCAGAAAAAGTGGGTTGAAACATGAAGCAGGAAGGCGTTGGAAGTAGATTGGGCTTCCATCCGCCCCCTGAAGGGCAGGAAAGAAGGAAAGCTGCCTCGACTCTTGAAGCAGGAAGGCGCATGAAGCAGATTAGGATCTGGGCATCCAAACATACCTGGGCATCCAAAAATACCTACTTTCAACGACCGGCTGGTGTGCACACCTCCCACGGCATCAACGGTACGCTCCGGTCCTCCACCCTCCTCGTCGACCGTCGGGCCCAACGGGGGGGGGGAGGGAGCGAGAGGCGCCCGACCGTCGCGAGCACCGCTCCTGGGATGGAAAAGCCCATGTGCTCCGTCCGACTCGACAGGGCTGCTCCAGATTTCGTAATAAAGGGAGGGGGGTCTCATTTCGGGGGGGGTCTCTTCCGGGCTATCTTGGAGGGCCTGGGGGGGTCTGGGGACGATGTTCTGGAGGGTTCTCCCACGGGGGAGGTCTGAAATGGATTGTCTTGGAGGGTCCAGACCCCCTCCCTTTTATTACGAAATCTGGGCTATGCACACCTCCCACCTATCTGGTCCTCCACCCTCCTCGTCGACCGTCGGGCCAAACGGGGGGGGGGGGGGAGAGGGAGGGAGAGGAGCGAGAGGGGCGGCCGTCATCTCAGGGAGCCCTCCGCCTTCTACGGAGTACCGTCGGAAGGGAGGAGGAGGAGGAGGAGGTGGCGGAGGAGGAGGAGGAGGAGGAGCCTCTAGTGCCTTATATTAAGCCGCCTACGCATCCTGCTTCAAAGCCGCCCTCCCTCGCCTCGTCGCCCACTGCGCGGCGAGGACCCTCCGCGTCCGCCCTTGACATTCCGCGGTGCCCCAGACAGGGGCACACCGAATTATGGAGCAGGGCCCAAGCCGCAAGGGCAGTGGCAGGGTCCAGAGGACCACTTGCAGCTGGCAAACAGATGGTGGGACAGAACGAGAGCAGTCGGCAGAACGCTGACTACCACCACCACTACCGCCACATGGAGGCAGAAGCGGGGTGAAGGGTAGTGCTCCGAACAAGCAGCAGATGCTGCACGGCCGGGTGGTGGTGGTGTGCGCAGGCTGCCTCAGAAAGGAAAAGGGCGGGTGCTGGCTAGGGCAGAACAACAGTTGGCCGCAACAGTGTTGCGGTCAACTGTTCGCTGCCCTAGCCCCCATGGCCAGGATTCGCGCATGGACAGGACCCGCGCATGCGAACAGCGCAGTGATACTGAAGCCCAAAATGTTTGCATGTGCAGAGTAATGTGTCAGAACACATGAAAACGGGACCCGTCGCTAATCCGTCTGCCCAGATCCATGGTTCCATTTCCCTGAAACACTGGTTTGAGTTGCCCCGTCTTGTGGTGAGCACCCGTCCTCCTCATCCTGGCACGGGCCCTCCGCCCTCAGCACATCCCTCCTGTATGGGGAGCTCACGCCCGTGTACAGGGCTGCGAGAGAGCCACGCGCCGGCGCTCGAATCGAACGACCGTGCCCCGTGCACTGTTTTTCGAGTTCGCGCGAGCATGTTTCGCACGGTGCTCCAGGATGCTCCTCGATCGATGGTCCTCGCCAGGGCTGGACCTAAACAGTGTTTTTCGTGTTCGTGTTGTTGTTGTTGTCCCTCGTTTTGTCTGGAGTTCGCCCTTGCTGCAAAACGATATCGAAACGAAAACGGCCCACGAAGTCGCCAAAACACCGTTTAGGTCCACCCCTGGTCCTCGCCAGAGAAAATGCACACGTCCGAGCGATGCCCAGACAAACGACCGAACGACTGACGAACTTAGGAACAAACAATCGAGTGCCTGCTCCTGCTACTGTTTTTCTCTTCCTGCCCCTGCTCTGTTCCTCCCGCTTCTCCTCCCGTGCTTCCCCCTAGCTGGACGCAAACGCCCTGCTGTTGCCCGAACGGCCGCATTGGCAAACAAGCCATACGCTGCTGCCGAAGCCTGCTGCGAATGCCGAACTGGACTGGACGAATATCTGCACGAACACAGAATGTGCACATGCGTTTGAAAACGCTGCATTAAGAAGATGCAAATGCTTCGAACTTGCTGATCCCAGAATTTCCTCTGCCCCCGGCCCGCGAGCCAGGCCACAACCGAACCGACCAAACGCTACCGACATCACCTGGATGCCAAAGAGAGAACAATTGGCGAACAAAGTCCCTCACGATGGAAGGAGAACAGGCCATAACAAGGTACAGGACGACGACGACGATGAGGACGACGACGACGGCGACGGCGACGCTGACGACGACGACGATGACAACGACGACGAGACGACGACGACGACGACGACGACGAGACGACGACGACGACGACGACGACGACGACGAAGACGACGACGACGACGACGACGACGACGACGACACCAACGACGACGACGACGACGACGACGACGACGACGACGACGACGACGGAGACGACGACGACGACGACGACGACGACGACGACGACGACGACGACGACGACGACGGAGACGACGACGACAACGACGACGACGACGACGACGACGACGACGACGACGACGACGACGACTACGACTACGACTAAGAAGACGACGACGACGGCGACGGCGACGACGACGACGACGGCGACGACGACGACGGCGGCGGCGGCGGCGACAGCGACGACTACGACGCTGACAATGACGGCGGCGGCGGCGGCAGCGAAGGCGAAGGCGAAGGCGAAGAGGAGGCGAAGGCGAAGACAGGGCAACGGCGCCCGCAGGCGAAGGCGAAGACGCCCGAAGGGCGCGGGGGCGGGCCCCGGGCGGCGGGCCTGATGAGCTTTCGGGCGCCGTCGCCTGGCAGCAGGTAGGGCGCCACGCCCCTGTGCGCGCGCGGGCAGGCGGCGGGCTGCAGCTTGGGGTCCCCGCCGGCGGGCGCCGACTGCGCACCGTCGCTGATCCTGGCCGGGCCCCTTCTGGGCCCAAGAGAGCGGTGCATACGCCCTCTTGGCCAGGCCAGCATCGGGCCCAGGGTGGCCCTGCCAAGGCATGGTGGCTTGGAATAGAGGCCTCCTCAGGAACAAAAAAAAGGCAAGCAAGGCGCGTGTCAGAAAAAAAACATGCACAGGCTCGCGCCGACTTCCACCCCCTCCGCACACCACTGACAGCGACTCTGGCGCCGCCCCCCAGAGCGCTCCCCGCGCGCTGGGGCAGGGTTGTGCGGAGGTGGCCTGGAGCGACCCAGGATGTCTGCGCGGACCTCCAAAGAGTTGTGCTCAGTCAATTGATGAGCCAACTTTCCACCACCCCTACCATAGGTAGGACGGGGCAGAAGGGAGGATGGGGAGGCCCTCCTCCTCCTCCTCCTCCTCCTCCTCCTCCTCCTCCTCCTCCTCCTCCTCCTCCTCCTCCCCCTCCCCCTCCTCCTCCACCTCCTCCTCCTCCTCCTCTTCCTCCTCCCTCTCCTACCTGTGGAAGTGGTGGTGGAACGACGGCCCATCATCAGGTGTTCACCACCCGACAGGTCGGGGTTGATGGACTCCGAGGAACGAGCTCGAAGGGGCCCTGGGACACACAAATAAGAACACACAAATCAAACTATTCCCCACATCTCCCCATATTTGGGGGCTGTTCGTCTTCCCCCCCACTTCCCATATATTCCCACAGTTTCCGGGGAATCGACGATGCGTTGTGTCTGTGTGGTTCTTTCCCTCCTGAGAGCTCCCGACCCGCCTCGCACGCCCTGCACACCGCGTGCCCCCAGGCCCCTCCCGGCACGCCCTGGGAGCCCCGCCTCGCGCCTCCGACGAGTGCCGACTGCGCACAGGCGGCCGCCTGGCCCCGGAAGAGCCGGGTGCTCTCCCCGGGGGATCCCGCCTCGCGCCCTCGGGTGAGGATCGCTCTGGCTTTCGCTCGGGCTTTCGCTCGTGCTGCGCTGGGCCCCTTCTCGGGAGCGGCCAAGAGGGGGGTGTCCAAGAGGGGGGGGGTGCAAATCATGACCGGCGGCATGTGCGCGGCCTAGCGGAGGGGCCAGGGACGTAACGAAATAAGAAGAGGCGCCATGAGATCTGGGGAAATATTATGGCCCACGCCATGATATCCAACCCCCCCTAGTCATCACCCCCCTCTTTCCGCCCCCGACCTTCCTGAGCCCCTCGCCGCAGGCCGGGCACGTCCCCCCTCCAGGCGGATGCTGGACAATAAATTCAAAATACTCCGAACATGCCCCCAAAAGAATGGCACAACAGACATTCAAAAAAAATCGTCCCCAGACGACTGGGCCTTGACTGTGCCTCCCGTAGAAGGACACGCCCGACTGAAGCCGCGCCCTCCCCGCGCGCCCCCGCAGCAGAGCGCCCCTTCCCCCCGCCGTGTGGGGGGGGGGGGGGCCGCCGGGGCTCACGCGCGCTCGCCTCCCTCCGCTCGCCGCCCTCCGCCGCTCGCCCGCCGCCGCTCGCCACCGCTCGCTGCGTAGGCCGGCGGCGGCCAGAGTCAAGCCGGGCAGGTCCCTCTACAGGAGGAACGTCCAAAGATAGTCAAAAAAATAATCTGGGCCGATATTTGATTTTTGTTGCTATCTTTGAGCTTGTCTGTCCAGGTACTGTCTGGCTGTAGGAGGACACGTCCGGCCAAAGGCCACAGGGGGAGGGAGAAGGGAAGAGGGAGGACCCAGGGATCCGGCGTTCCCAACAAAAAACGAAGCGGGCGGTTTTGGGCTGGCTGCTGCCTCCAGGAGCCCTCGCAGGGCCCTCGGGCCGCCCCCAAAAAAACAACTCGTGACGAAAAGACAGTCCTGGGGGAGTGGTCCAGCCTGCCCACGCATCGAGAAAACTGGGGCAGCTGGATGCTTGGGGAGGAGGGAGGACCCGTGCTACTCGAGTCAGGGCTGACAGCCTGGCAGCCTCACGCGCGGGCGACGACCGGCGGCGAGCCCAAGGGGTAAGGCGTAGGGGGCGAGCCTTCTCGGAGGACTCAGAAAGCCTCTGGCCCTCCGAGAAGCTTCCTGAGTCTTCTCCGAAGCCCCGCCGCCTTCTGAGAAGGATTGCCCCCTCACCCTTGAAGTACCATGTGGCACCTGCCTCAAAACAGGAGCATGCCGTGGACGGACCTGCCTTTTCTTCGACATTAACTTGCGCCGAAAGCAACGGCCGCGTTGTCTATAGCCGTACCCCCTCCCAGATCCGTGTGTATATACACTTATAAATAGATATATGTGTATATAAATATGTATATATATATATATTATACCAGAGATGTACATATATGTAAATGTGTATGTATATGTATACACACACGCCCGCCTCCTTGGGGGCCACCAGGCTGCGAGGGTGAGGGCTGTTGTGCGCTGCACCAGTTCCAGTTTCCAGTTTCTCATGTTACTGTAAACTGTTACTGTCCGCGCGAGGGGGGGGAGTCGAAAAGGAGCCTGACCACCCTCCCCCAGGAGGGTTCTCACAATTTCTAGTGGGGGGGGGGCCTGGGTCACGTAAAAATACATGAGACTCGCGCCTCCGAAGCAACGATCCCTGCAATATTTCGCAATCTTCGCGTCGCCGAGGCCACAAACTGTCGTAAAGTATACGATGTTTGCGTCCCCGAGGCCATAAGCCCTTGCAAGTTAAACAATACTCGCGTCCCCGAGGCCATAAGCCTTCGTAAAGTACATAATCTTCACGTCCCCGAGGCCATAATCCCTCGCAAAGTACACAGCACTCGCGTCCCCGAGGCCATAAACCGTTTTTGTAAATTGCACATTGCGTGCGCCCCCCGAGGCCACAAGCCTACGTAATGTATGCAATAGGTGCGTTCCCCAGGCAATAAACCCTCCTTAATTCCACAACATTCGCGTCCCCGAGGCCATACACCCCCGTAAATCACTCAATACTTGGGACCCCGAGGCCATAAACTCTTGTAAAGTACACAATGCTCGCGTCCCCGAAACGTTAAACCTTTGTAAGTTACGCAAGATTCGCGCCCCCGAAGCCAAACATCTTTTACACATTACACCACATTCGCGTCCCCGAGGCAACAACCCGTTGTAAAATACACCATCTGTGCATCCCCGAGGCCATCAGCCCTTTGTAACTCCCACAAGACTCGCGCCCCCGAGGCCAGGATCCCCTGAAAAGTAAGGCGCACCCGCGCCCCCCGAGGCCTCGGTCCCTTACAACAGACGCCGACGAGCCGAGGACCGCCCCAGCCGCGCGATTTTGCCCACTCTAGCCTCAAGCAGCCCCCAGTCTGTCCAACAGGGCCTCCAATGCACAGCATGCGGGGGCAAGTCCAAAATGCAACACCGAATTCAAAACTATCGTCTGAACATGTAAACATCTATCTATATATATGTGTGTGTATGCCGAGTACTAATCGTCCTCGCATGAGGTTCCGACACTGCTTCAAGACGGCGCCCAGACCTCACGACGTAGCTCTTGCATGACCCACTATCCGAGAGAGAGGGGCCGGCGGCAGGGGGGCGAAGCCCTTACGGATATATATACACACACGTAGCAACAACCAAAGTCTACGGAGGTATCCCACTCAAATGCGTCGATGGACGTAACAGTACCTAATGTGTCTATAGACGCTTGCGGCTAGAAAGTGAAAACGCTATTTGGCATAGGTCCCAGAAATGGATCTTCTAGAAGCAGGTCCGCCGACCCCTGCATGCCAGGGGTGCAAAGGCGTGTGAGATGACTGGCTGCCCCCCTCCCCCCTTCCCCCCCCTGGGTTCTGAAATCCGCAGGGCTGGACCTAAACGTTGTTGTTCGTTTTGTTGTCGCTTTGTTTTTCGTTACCTTCCCTGCCAAAATGAAACACAAAACACAGCTGGAGTCCAGCAAAACAGCGTTTAGGTCCAGCCCTGGAAATCCGATTAGAATGGGGGGGGCGGGGGGAGGCGGGGAGGGGCCACGGGGGAGGAGGTGGTTCTTCGAGTTCCGTCATTCTTTTGAAGGCCTCTGGAGCGTCATTGTTTAACGCTCCGTAAGAAAAACAGGCACGATAGCCCCACGACGGCCCACGAAGCCTCCAAGACGTCCCCAGAGAGCTCCAAGCGGTCCCCAAGAGGGCCGAAGCCCAGATCGCTCCACTTCCAAAAGAACAATGTACAGTTGTAGTAGATTCACCCTTTTGATTTCGACAGCGTCCAAAGCGGCACAGGAGGCTTCCAAGATCGCTCCAGGATGGCCCAAGAGGTCAGGCCCCAAGACGGCCCAACAGAGCACCAAAAGAGCCCAAGAGGCGCCCAAGACCGCCCAAGAGGGCCCCAAAACAGCCTCAGAGAGGCCCAAGAGGGGCGACTCGAACTAACATTTCGAACCCTCCACCCCGAGAGGACCCCCGAGACCGCAAGCAGGCGCTCAACACACCCCCAAGAGGCTCCAAGAGGACTCCCAAAGGCCAAACACAAATATCCCAATGGGTCCCTCAAACGGTCCCCGAGGAGCAAAAGACCTCACCCGTAGACTCCCTCTCCCTTTGAGTTTGCCGGCGGAATGGCGCAAGCCACTTGCCCAAACTCTGCCGCTCAACTTCTGAGAAGGATTGACGCCCCGGCTCTCGCTTCTCCTCTCGTCGGGTCGGGCGAAAGGGGGGGATAGCAAAGGGGGGGTTTGAGAATCAGCTCACAAAGCTGATTTTCCCGGCGCCTTCCGGCGCCGGAGGCGGCTATGTATCGAGGAATGGGCCCCTCGGTTGGGCCGAAACCAGCTGCATGCAGCGGATTTCGTAACCCCCCCCTTCCCAATCCCCCCCTTTCGTCCGGCCCGATCTCGGCGCGCCGCCGAGAGAGAGCAAACAAGAGGCATCTCGAGCGCGAGAGCGCGGCGGCTCCGCGCGGGCGGTGGCCTGCCCGGGCCGCCGGAGCGGCGCACCGCCGGAGCGGCGCCGGAGCGCGCGGCCCTGCGCGTGCAACGTGCGCACGAAGGCCCGTGCAATCGGCACCGTGGTGGTGGGCCTGTTCCTCAGCCACCACCGCCATATAAGTACCAGGGTGAGGGGGTCCAACTCTTCCTCCTCCTCCTCCTCCTCCTCCTCCTCCTCCTTCTCTTCTTCCTCCTCCTCATCCTCCACCTCCCTCCCCCCTCCAACTTATGGTGGTGGTGGTGGTGGAAAACAGGCCCATCACGTGATCTTCTATTCGACGAACTACCAGCAATGACGAAGACGACGGCAGCGATCGACGACGGCGAAGGGCGAAGGAGGAAAGACGAACCACGAACGGCAGACCACGAGCGACGAACGACAGACGCCAGACGGCACACGGTAGAACAGCAATCGCCAAGCGACAAGCGGCAAACGACAGACGACAGACGACAGACGACGACGACGACGACGACGACGACGACGACGACGACGACGACGACGACGACGACGACGAAGAGAACGACGACGACGACGACGCCGCCGCCGACGACGACCACGACGACGATGACGAAGAGGGCGCCAACGACGACGACGACGACGACGACGACGACGACGACGACGACGACGACGACGACGGCGACGACGACGACGACGACGGCGGCGGCGGCGGCGGCGGCGGCGGCGGCGGCCGCGGCCGCGGCAGCGGGGGCCACGGAGAGCGCTTCCCCTTCGCCCGGCGGAGGGCGGCTGGCGCGCGGGGCGCCTCTGGAGTCCGGTGATGAAGTCCGGATTTGGCCTGAGAGTGGAATGGGTGGCCGCGTGTGAACCCTACAGTCGACCCGCAGAGTAAGGACAGGCATCCCTCTCAAGGGTACCCTTGCATCTTTGCCTCCTGGGTCCATCCTTGGACGCTTTCGTTGGCCGCGCCCCGCTCGAAACGCTTCGAAATGGGCGTCCAAGGGCCTTGCATCCTTATCGCGCATCCTCTCTCTGCGGGTTGACTGTACCCCCACTCCCTACGATTTCTAAGGGGGGTGGGGATTCACTCCGCTCTGGAGCTCCTGAAAGAAGTGAACCCCCACCACCACCTTGGAAATCGTGGGGGGAGGGGGGAAGGGTCACACGTTGCCACCCACCAACAAAGACTGCATCAGCAGAACTTGTTGACGATCCTCGCGGGTTTCTTGGACCTGCGCTGGGCCTCTTGGCGGGGACTCCAGCGCCGCCCCTGGCGCGCGGAGCGCGCCTGGGAAAGGGCGTCCAGCGCAGATCCAATAAATCCGCGCCGACCGTCAAAAAATTACGCATACGCAGTTTCTGCTTCGAGGGAAGACGAGCGCTCGCCAGGGAGGAAGCAGGAGCCCTCAAGTAAAAGATTTAAGCCCATGGAGTATCGGAGATAAGTGCCTCTTTGGGGGAGAAGCTGCTCGCCCGAGAGCAAGGGACAGGGGAGGAGAAGGAGGAGGAGGAGGAGGAAAAGGAAAAGGAGGAGGAGGAGGAAAAGGAGGAGGTGGAGGAGGTGGAGGAGGAGGAGGTGGAGGAGCAGGAGGAGGAGGCGGGGGGGGGATCAGGAGTCTGCGCAGGAAAAGGAGGGTGGGGAAAAAGGGAAGCGGGGGGAGAGTGACAAAGCTAACAAGGAGCGCGCTTGTTTACGTTTCGCGATAACGGTCTTTACCGTGGATGTTTCCCCCCTCCACTCCCCACCCCCCCACACGTCGTAATGCCACCGTTAGCGCCAGAGGATAACAGCGGGCTCACGGAATGGAGCGGGGGAGGAACGAGGAGGGAGGGAGGAGAGGAGAACAAGGGGTAGGAGCAGAGGAGGAGGAACAAGGGGGCGGAGTGCGGAGGGATGGGAGAGTGGGAGGAGGGAGCAGGGAGGAAGGAAAAGGATGTTGGAAGAGAGGCAGAAAGAGGTGAGCGATTGCCAGAAGGCCCGCTTCACCTCCTCACTTCTCTGGCCGCCTGGCCTTGCCGTTTTGCCTCCTGCGCACGGTGCCGCCCCACCAGAAGCCACCGCAGGCCCGCCTGCCTCCGATCTCGAGGGTCCGCCGGGCTTCCGCTGGCAGGGCATTCCTCGTTCTACGCCCTTCCTTCCGAAAGGCTACCACGATGGTGCTGTGACCGTAGAAAGCAAACAAAACCGACCGCATCGCGAATACCCCTTCCAGCGAAGCCCTCTCTGCAAGTGCACCCGAGGAAGGAATCGGACAGGGCAGGACTGCTCAGCAAACGCCCGGGGCCGGCTCGCAAACGCGCGCTGTCGGCCTCAGGATCGTTACCCTCGGCATGAATGGCGTGATGGGCACCGGCAGACATGCGGCGCTTGCGGTGCTCAAAGATCACTGCGATAGCATCGCCCCTCCGATTCCGTCGGCGGCGAGGCCCTTTTTTTCCGGAGCGGCCCGCATCCCCACGACGGGAACGGCAGGCGCGCAGAGGTGGGCGCCCGGGGCCCCCCCCCCTGCTGGTCGCGAGCGGGGCGGGAGGGGACGCCTGGCGTAGTGCCTGAAGACCTGGTGGAATTGGTCGACCTCCACCTCGCGGCTGGGAGGGGCTCCTCTCCAGGATGGGATGATGGTAGGGGGAGGGAGAGCGGAAGGGACAAGGGAACGAAGTGGCCAGGCGAAACTAGCCCAGGTGAGCTCGGCCAGCTGAGCTCGGCCAGGCTGAACTCGGTCAAGGCCGAACTCAGCTCGGCCGAGTTCAGCTTGCCCGAGATCAGGCGGCCGAATTTAGCCTGGCCGAGTGCAGGTGCCCGAGCTCAGCCTGGCCGAAGTTTCTTGGCCGAAGTGAACTGCTGCCCGCCGACTAAGGTGACTGGGGGATGGGACGGGCGGGTAAACCCACTCCGATTTGTGCGCCCGTAGTGAGCGCCACTCACGTCCTCCGCGGCCCCCGTCCGCCAGCTCGCTGTCGCTGTTGGACAGATGGGCAGGGGCCCCTTCTGGTGGGCCGAGGTGTACGGGGATGTGCTCAGGGCGAGGGGAAAGGCTGGCGCTGCCTGCTCCCATCGTTCGGGAGTCTCCCAGGGGTACTTAGGAATCATCAGGAGCCCAGGGGCGTCCTCGGGAACCTTCAGGATACCAACAGAATCTCCAAGAATCCGCAAGTATTCATGGGAATCGCAGGGAATCGCGAGGGAACTTATAATATCATCTAAAACAAATATAAATAGAATCATAGCCTGGCGAAGGATCCAATCATCTGCAGTTCTGAGCACCGTCGGTGTATGCACCGCATTCGGTGGAGCTTCCTCCCTATAGGGCCACGAAATGTGTGAGGCGTGTGCAAAAATTTGTCCGGAGGGCGCATGCGAAAGCAACCGCTGGGGCCCTCGGTGGAATCCCCTATGGGGCTACAAAATGCGTGAGAGGTGTGCGGAAATATGTTCGGTGGGCGCATGCGAACGCAGCCGTTGGGGCCGTCTCCGTATGGTGCCGCGAAAACGAGTGGTGGGTTTGCCGAGATGGGTGCGGTGGGCGCATGCGAAAGCAGCCACTGGCGCCTTCGGTGGAGCTCCCTGTGGGGCCAAGAAACGTGTGAGGGGTGTGCCCGAATGAGCGTGGGTGACGCATGGGGGCAGTGGCACTGGTGCCTTCGGTGGAGCTCGCTATGGGGCCACGAAACGCGTGAGGGGTGTGCCGACATGGGTGTGCGTGACGCGTGCGGGCGGGTGACGACATGAGTTTGCGTGACGCAGGCGGGCTGTGGCACTGGGGCCTTCGGTGGAGCTCCCTGTGGGGCCACGAAACGTTTGAGGGGTGTGCCGACATGAGTGTGCGTGACGCAGGCGGGCGGTGGCACTGGGGCTTTCGGTGGAGGTCCCTGTGGGGCCACGAAACGTGTGAGGGAACATGGGTGTGCGTGACGCATGCTGGCGGTGGCACTGGGGCCTTCGGTGGAGCTCCCTGTGGGGCCACGAAACGTGTGAGGGGTGTGCCGACATGAGTGTGCGTGACGCAGGCGGGCGGTGGCACTGGGGCCCTCGGTGGAGCTGCCTATGGGGCCGCGAAACGTGTGAGAGGTGTGCCGAAATGGGCGTGCGTGACGCAGGCGGGCGGTGGCATTGGGGCCTTCGGTGGAGCTCCCTATGGGGCCGCGAAACGGGTGTGCCGAAATGGGTGTGCGTGACGCATGCGGCCGATGGCACTAAGGCCTTTGGTGAAACTCCCTGAGGGGCCACGAGACGTGTGAAGGGTGTGCAGTAATGGGTGTGCGTGACGCATGCGGGCGGTGGCACTGGGGCCCTCGGTGGGGCTCCCTGTGGGGCCACGAAGCGTGAAAAGGGTGTTCGGTGAAGCTCCCTGTGGGGCCACGCAACGTGTGGGGGACATGCCGAAACGGGCGCGGTGGGCGCATGCGAACGCGGGTGAGGGGTGTGCCGAAATGATTGCGGTAGCGCCATGCGAGCGCAGCCTCTGGGGCCCTCGGTGGAGCTCCCTGTGGGGCCACGAAGCGTGTGAGGGGTGTGCCGAAATGGGCGCGGCGGTGTCATGCGAGCGCAGCCTCTGGGGCCCTCGGTGGAGCTCGCTATGGGGCCACGAAACGTGTGAGTGGTGTTCCGAAATGGACGCGGCGGTGCCATGCGAGCGCAGCCACTGGGGCCCTCGGCGAAGCTCCCTGAGGGGCCACGAAACGTATGAGGGGTGTGCCGAAATTAGCGCGGTGGCGCCATGCGAGCGCAGCCACTGGGGCCCTCGGGGGAACTCCCTATGGGGCCACGAGACGTGTAAAGGCTGTGCCGACACGGGCGCGGCGTTGCCCTGCGAGCGCAGCCACAAGGTCCCTCGGTGCAGTTCCCTATGGGGCCACGAAACGTATGAGGGGTGTGCCGGGATGGCTGCGGCGTTGCCATGCGAGCGCAGCCACTGGGGCCCTCGGGAGAACTCCATATGGGGCCACGAAACGTGTGAGGGGTGTGCCGAAGTGGGCGCGGTGGTGCCATGCGAGCGCAGTCACTGGGGCCCTCGGTGCAGCTCCCTGTGGGGCCACGAAGCGTGTGAGGGGTGTGCCGAAATGGGCGCGGCGGTGTCATGCGAGCGCAGACTCTGGGGCCTTCGGTGGAGCTCCCTATGGGACCACGAAACGTGTGAGGAGTGTGCCGAAATGGGCGCGGTGGTGTCATGCGAGCGCAGCCACTTGGGCACTCGGTGGAACTCCCGACGGGGTCACGCAACGTGTAAGAGGCGTGCCGAAATGGGCGCGGCGGTGCCATGCGAGCGCAGCCACTGGGGCATTCGGTGGAGCTCCCTATGGGGCCACGAAGCGTGTGAGGGGTATGCCGAAATGGGTGCGGCGGAGAATTGCGAGCGCAGCCACTGGGGCCCTCGGTGAAGCTCAGTTTGGGGCCACGACGCGTGTGAGGAGTGTGCCAAAAGTGATGACTGGCGTTGAGGGAAAAAGCAGGGACGGAATGACGGGGATGGGGCAGCGGAAGGATGGAGTGAGTCGCGGGGCGCTGTCTCTTCAAAACGAGGGCCCAACACCACAGGATGGCTGCAGGGGAAGAATTAGCCTGGCGAAGGACCCAACCATATGAGGTTGTGAGTAACGCAATTGTGAAAATCCTAGTCGGTGGAGCTCCCTATGGGGCCACGGGGCGTGGGGGGGACGCATGTGGACGGTGGCACTGGGACCGTCGGTGGAGCTCCCTCTGGCTCTGGGGCAACGAAACGTGTGAGGGGTGTGCCGACATGGGTGGCGGTGACATGCGGACCCTGCCACTGGGGCCTTCGGTGGGGCTCCTTATGGGGCCACGAACCGTGTGAGGGGTGTGCAGAAATGTGCAGCGGCGCCATGCGGGCCCTGCCACCGCGGCTTTCTGTGGAGCTCCCTATGGTGCCACGAACAGTATGAACGGTGTGCCGACAAGGGGCGGCGGTGCCATGCAGACCCTGCCACTGGGGCACTCGGTGGAGGCCCCTGCGGAGCCACGAACCGTGTGGGGGGTAGGTTGGAATCGTGCGGCGGTGCCATGCGGGCCCTGCCACTGGGGCCTTCGGTGGAGCTCCCTGGGGGGCCAAGAAGCGTGTGAAAGGACGTGCCGAAGCCGGGCGGCGGTGCCATGCGGACCCTGCCACGGGGGCACTCGGCGGAGCTCCCTATAGGGCCACGAACCGGGCGAGGGGTGTGCCGAAGTGGGGCGGCGGTGTCATGCGGACCCTGCCACTGGGGCCTCCGGTGGAACTCCCAATGGGCTTCGACGAACGGTGCGAAGGGTGTGCCGAAATGGGGCGGCTGTGCCATGCGGACCCTGCCACTGGGGCTTTCGGTGGAGCTCCCTTTGAGGCAACGAACCGTGTGATGGGTTTGCCGATATGGGCGCGGCGGTGACATGCAAACCCTGTCACTGCTGCCTTCGGTGAACCGTAAAGCCTGTGCAATCCAAACCCTGTGGGGCCACGAACCGTGTGAGGGGTGTGCTGACATGGCCCTGCAGAGAACAGAAGCAGTGATGGGAGGAGAGGCACCGATGTGAGAAAGACCCCCCAAGCACAGGATGGTTGGGAGACAACGAAGAAAAATGGTTTAACAAAATCCTTGCGAAGGACCCAACCATATAGTTCTGAGTAGATCAAATGTTGGTATCGTATTCGGTGGAGCTCTTTAGGGGGCCACGAAACGTTTCCGAAATGGGTGGGCGCATGCGAACGCACCCACTGGGGCCTTCGGTGGAGCTCCCTATGGGGGGCCACGAAACGTATGAGGGGTGAGCCGACATGGGTGCGGTGGTGTCATGCGAGCGCGCCACTGGAGCACGCGGTAGAGCTCCCCATGGGGCCACGAAGCGTGTGAGGGGTGTGCCGACATGGGTGCGGTGGTGCCATGCGAGCGCAGTCACTGGGGCCCTCGGTGCTGTTCCCTATGGGGCCTCGGAACGTGAGAGGGGTGTGCCGACATGGGCGCGGTGGTGTCATGCTAGCGCAGTCACTGGGGCCCTCGGTGCAGCTCCCTATGGGGCCACGGAACGTGAGAGGGGTGTGCCCAATGGGTGCGGTGGTGTCATGCGAACGTAGCCATTGGGACATTCTGTGGAGCTCCCTATGGGACCACGAAACGTGTGAGGAGTGTGCCGATATGGGCGCGGTGGTGTTATGCGAGCGCAACCACTGGCGCCTTCGGTGGAACTCCCTATGGGGCCACCATACGCGAGGGATACGTGAGGGGCGTGCCGAAAGTTGTGGGTGGAACCGTGCGGGCGCAGCCACTGGGGCCTTCGGTGGAGCTCCCTATGGGGCAACGAACCCTGTGAGGGGTGTGCCGACATGGGCGCGGTGGTGTCCTGCGAGCGCAGCCACTGGGGCCGTCGGTGGGGTTCCGTATGTGGCCACGAAACGTGTGAAGGATGTGCCGAGACAGAGACACGCGGAGGGCATAAGTGAGAAGAGGAAGGAGGGAGGAAGGGGAGGAGGAAGGAGGATAGTCGCGGGGCGTTGTCTCTTCAAAACGGCGACCCAACACCACAGGATGGTTGGAAAAAACACATTATCCCAGTGCGACCCTACCTAGGAGTTGGATCATCTAGGAAAGCATCATC